TCAAGGCAGGCAGAACTAGACACATCCCCTGTACGTTCCCTGCGGGCCCTAGGCCCGGCATATCAGCGTTAAAGCCAAGCCGTGAGAGCAGCGGAGCGCTCTCGAGAGCCTGTTTCATATCCATGAACACGGGACGCGAAACAAGCTGCTGGGGTCCCATCACAAACTCCGTGAGAAGGGCCGACGATGTGGACCATGGGCAGGGAAGATTGGTGACGTGTAGTTGCTGCAAGACCGGCAGCTGCACCGCATGGAACACGAGCTGGGTGGAGGGTGAAGAGGGCTGCGCCTGGCTGCCCCAGTACCGGCTCAGGTTGACGACAAGTGACTGTAGGCGGGGGAAGGAATGTGGAAGGAGGAACGCGTGAAGGATGGGTATATTGGCATCTGGGCCAGTGATGTGGATTGTTCGAATGCGGGGAGACAGCGGAGTCATGGCAAGAAGAATTGCGGCGAGGGAGACTGTGGATGGATCCCGCGACTCTTCGGCCTGCGCCCCATCCCTCAAGACCGTGAGAGACAGTGGCAAGGCTGACGACGACGACCTACTCAGCCATCGGTGCGCGATGGCCAGGTCGTTGTGCGTGGAAGTCTCTCCGAATACAAGGTCTGTCCACAATCCGGCGGTGCCCTGCGCTGTTTGGGACCAAGCCCTCGAGATCTGTAGGAGATGCGACTTGGAGCACCGAGGAAGATACGACCAGACCTCTTCAATGGTCTCCACCGCCAGGGAGGAGAATGTTGTTTTGGTACGCTGAATAACGATGGTGAGTTCACCTTATGTGTGATGAGGTCAAGTGAGTTTGGACGAACAGGGAAGGTCTCGTGAATGAGAGCCATGGTGGTAGGCGGAAAAAAAAGCGCAAATCCCTTCAGATATAAACAATGGCAAATACCATGAAGACGCGCGGAGACCGAACCTCACCATACCTCCCCTGAACATAGGTGAGAGGTGACATGAAGATATATTGAGATCCAAAGTGTTCTGACGCCCATACGAACAAGGTTCATTCACCGAAAAACCGTGCACTGCTTTTCGGTGCGGGAAATCTGAAAACCGAACCTCACCGTACCTCCCCCGAACATAGGCGGGAGGTGACGTGAGGATACATTGGGATGCACTACCATCCAATCTGCCCTCCCAAAGTGTTTTGAGGCCCATACGAACCAGGTTCATTCACCGAAAAACCGTGCACTGCTTTTTGGTGCGGGAAATCTGAAAACCGAACCTCACCGTCGAACATAGGCGGGAGGTGACGTGAAGGTACACTACCATCCAATATGCCCTCCCAAAGTCATATGAACAAGGTTCGTCCACCAAAATACCGTGCACTCCTTTTTGGTTCGGGAAACACTAACTTCAAAGACCGAACCCAACTGTGACCCGGCAAGAAGCCATTTTTGTTGGCAAGCTAGATGCAATAGGAACCCATTGCATGCTCACGTCATGGCATTGGGCTGCACCGTTGTATGGCTTGATAAAGAGGGGACAAGAAGACCATATCCGTCAGACTTAAAATCCTCCAGGTCCGGACAGGAATGCCATCAAAGCTAGACCCAAATCCCATAGAGATGGGGCCTAAGTAAACCTACCAGAGACCGATCACAGTCCCCCAAAACGGCATGTGATGGTATGAAGTCTCGACAAAAACATTGGTCAGTCCCGGGTTCGAACTGGTGCATGCCTAATTGGGCCATGATGGTTCACGGAGGGAAAGTAGAGCCTGATGACAGAGGAGGAAGGTTTTGTACTTGGGGACATTTTCCCCGGGAAGAGTACGAGGAGGAGGTAAGTATGGCGCTCGACATCGAGTGATTCGGGTAGGAGGTTGTTTAGATTCATGAAGATCGGACACAAACCCGACGTTCAGCGGGCATCAAAGCCATACCGCTTGGACGAAAAGGTGATGCGAGCTGGGCTGGTAATCTATATGGAGCATACCAAATAGGTATATCTACCAGACACAAATGACGTTACAGGTTGACAGCATTGCGATGTCGCAGGTACAAGATTGGAGTTACCTCTGGGTATGATATGGATTTCCGTGGGACAAATTTACCATACCTGCCGTACCCAAACCCATTACACAGGACATGAAGGTCATGCTGAAGGACATTAATAGTACACGCGAAAGGGAAGAGCAGGGTGACACCATCACGTGTGACATGCCGGGGTTTGCCTCACTTTGGGAGTGGGCAGCGACCGAGGCATCACGAATCTGTTTGGTCATGTTGATCTCCTGCCAACTGGCTCATCGGATGTGCCTTCGCATTTTTGAGCTTCTCTGGATCCCCCAATACTAAAGTGAAGAGGCAGATATAGTTTTAAATGGATTATCTAGAGATTGGTTAAGGAGGATTTTTTTTGGTCTCTCAAGTTATGGATTTTGACCCGCCGGCATCCCACCCCGGGGAGCGGGAAAAAATTGACCTTAACCATTCTCTAGATATTTGGTTCAAAGTAGATGCCCGAGGCGGCCGGCCACCCCAAAATGACCATATTCGCTCAAAAACGCGAAGTGCTGGGACCAAATCACAGCGGCGTCGAGGAGTGACATTGCGTGACTTGAGCACAAAACAGGTGAATTAAGAAGGTCCTGGACACATTTAAATTACTGGAGTACACACAAAGCAATTTCAGGGTCATCTTCAGCTTTCCCAATTTTCTGGATGGGTTTACTCTGCATACAGGGACAGATGTGCTCAAAACGTCTTGGGCGCGGTTTGATGTGGCTGTGCTCAATTCATCAGCCCATCAAATCTATCACTGTTGCCCACTCCCACGAGTCACTTTCTTACTTTCCGCCGCAACGTGACGACCAGATCGGGCAATTTGTTGGGGGCAGTGTTCGATCTGCCGGTGGTGCCGAAGGGGATGCTTTGAACTAAGACTAAGTAACAAGTCGGCGCGCGATGTATGTATGCCATGTCATTATCAGTTCGAATAAAACAGGCCACAGCAGTATATTGTCTGTGCAAAGTAGTATTATCAGAATGATTTATCATACCCCCATCCCCGGGTAAATGGCTACGCGCACGCGCACGCGTCGCAGTTAGCGGATGTGAAGGGGGTGGGGAAGAGGAGAGGCGGTGGATTCCGTATGAGCGCGAGTAGAATCTGCCTGCCGAGTGGGCAGAGATCGTAGAAGGAGCGCAGTAGTGGCGCCGGAAGAGTGGGACCGTGAGGCGGGGTTGGCGGGGTAGTGAGGCAGCGAAGTAGCGGAGCCTGAATGTAGCGAGGCAGGTGCGGTATCATGGGAAAGAGGGCGGGAATGATAATGAGGAGATGGACGTGGGCAGCAGGGAGGAGCGGGATGGCGGCGCAGCGTGGGGACGGGGCGGGGGGCGTTTTGGCACCCTTGCGGCCGACGGCGATTCGTCTTCTTCAGAGTTCAACGGCAAGGAGGAGCGGGGTAGATAACGCAAGGGCAGAACACCGATTCTCTTGTAATTGCTTGGATGCGGGCGAGGCGAGACGTTTCGCGGGGGGGAAGAAGCGGTACGCGCCGCGGGGGCTTCTCCAAAGCGAGTCCAATGCCGGTGGCTGGGAAGGTCTGGATCGTCCAGCGCGTCAGGACACGATGTGTGTTGAATTCAGCAACGGCGACCCACAAACAGACTCTGCACGCATCATAAGTATCGACCTTTGTGGAACTTCCCTTTTACACCAAAGGAGTCGCGGGGGACGCATGCAGGGCGAGGACAGACAAATGACTCGGAGAGGTCGTGGATAGAGGTATATTACTCGAGGGGCAGAGCGGCGGGGGCGGGGAAGAGTGACAAGCATGAAGGTCGGGAAAGAGGTGCGCTTGTTTGGCCATCTCGGCAGTCGGCAAACTGAACACCGCCCCCAACAAATTGCCCGATCTGGCCGCCACGTTGCGGCGGAAACTCAACAGTGGTTTGCCGGGGGGAAGCGGCATCATTCGGCATGATGGCGGTGGATGGCGGTGGCTGATGGGACGGTTCCACTTCGTGTAAAGAGCTCACTATGCGGCTCGGAAGATACGTCGGAGGAGCAGGGGTGGTGGGAGGGGCTCCTGTGTATATTGCGGCTCTGTAGGAATATTCTGGCAAGAAATTCTTACCCGGGCGGTTCAAGTGGAATTGATGTTGCGCTTTCTTTGAGAGGTGCAGCAAGGGCTCAGCTGCTCTTCCCCCGAGGCTGCAGTGCCTCAAACACGTCAGGATACATGGGATGGACCCTCATTTCGTTTCAACGGCGCCGCTGCCTTGGAGGAATAAAATTGCGAGAAATGCTCACCCCGCGGCTCAATTGGAATCGATGTTGCGCTGTCTTTGAGAGGGGCAGCAAGCGTTCAGCTACTCTTTCCTCTGGGGCCACAGAGCCCAACACGTCAGGATATCTGCGAGGGACCCTCCTTTCGTTTCAACGGCGCTGATGGTAACTTTGATGTCGGACTTCAGCGTTCTGAATTTCTGTAGCTCTCAGAGGTGCAGCAAAGGTTCAGCTACTCTTCCTTTGCTACAGCGCCCAACTACCTCAGTATATACGCGAAGGGCCTTCCTTTCATTCGAACCGCGCCGCTGCTTTGAAAGATATTCTATCACCGGAGTGATGGGAACTTTGATCGGAGCTTAGCGTTGGGAATTTCTGTAACTCTTATTTCTCACAGGGTAAATTCTCACTCAGGGGAGCGGGCTGCTATAGCTCGTAGGCGCCCTTGACCTCTTTCGCTAAGGATTCTATGGGAAACTCTGCGAGAAAACAATGTATCAGCGGAGTGATGGTAACTTTGATCGGAGTCTTTAGCCTTCTGAATTTCTGTAGCTCTTACCTCTCATAGGATAAATCCAAACTTTGGGGGGCGGGTTACTACAGTCCGTGGGCGCCCTTGACCGTTTTTGCTAAGGATTCTCTTGGAAACCACGCGAGAAATCCGCAAAAGAGTCCTGAAACGCCTCGGGGATCTCCGACGCAAATCTAGGCCTTCCAGGGCGCCCTGGAGCTTCTCCGAGGTCACCAGAAGCAAAAGCTTTGGACGCTATGGGGTTTGAACCCATGACCGCATACAATCGTGGACGTACGTTCGAAGTACGACCGTACCCTTGCAAAGCATGAGTGATACCACTACACCAAACGCCCATGATATACGCTGCTTATTTGCTCACTACGACCCGAACTCTCCGCGTCATGAACAAGGGCTTCCAGTTGCCAACCTCCGCCAAATTTTGAGTGAAAGCAAAGGTGAAGACAAGGCGGAGCAGCGATAGAGTTAAGTTCAACCAAGCGGATCAATTTTTTTCAACCAAATTGATCGCTGTCTCCCACCGCCCAACTCCCGCCCACCAGCTCGAGCAATCAGCGGCGAGCGCCATCAGCGAGCACAGGTAAGTAAGTAGGTTGCTAGCCCAATGCCAACCTCCTCCGATTATTATTGAAGCAAGGAGCAGCAATAGAGTTCAGTTCAGCGTTGGTTCAACCTGGTACTTATTTAAATTAAATTAACACACTTCCGGAAAGTTCAACCTCGTCCTCACATCAGCGTCAAGGAACAAGGTAGTTGCCCATGTCCACCAATTTTTTCTAGTCAAAAGGAAGACGACAAGGCGGGGCAGCGGTAGAGTTAAGTTCAACCACGCGGATCAAATTGATCCCAACAAATTGATCGGCCCCGCCCCGCCCCGCCCACTAGCGCCATCAGCGGGGACGGGTAAGGTTGCCAGCCCAATGGCAGCCTCCTCCGATTATTAGTGGAGCAAGGAGCCGCCATAGAGTTCAGTTCAACCTGGTACTTAGATTAGATGTCCACACTCCCGGGATGTTCAACCTCGTCCTCGCACGTTGAGATGAAGCAGTCCGGGAGGAGGAGGACTCGGAGGAGGGTGTATGCTGCGGAAGGCGCCCTGTTGACCTCAACTGACACCGGCTACATATAATTATATGAACGCACCCAGCTGTCTACTGTACACGATAACACTGCCAAAGATACACTAAGGAGCTCTAATAATTTACAGTGTATTATACGGGCAATCAAAGCAGTAACCGCCTACTCAAGGGTCTACGGACGAGGAGTAGCCGGGGCGTCATCTCCTTCAAAAACAAGAGAGGTGTGGTGTGCTGGAAGCGCATTGCTCGCGGCGCTGCCAGAAGTACCAGCGGACGGGTCGGGTATCTCCGAGCCAGGACTATCGTCCACCGGCTTCATAGCATCCGCCTCGTGTCCACTATCGAACGTCCGCTCTATCTCGGGCACATCACCGAGCCAGCGATGCAGCCCCAGCTCTCCCGCGCCCATACGCCCCTCTGGTTTTAAATCCAGCATGGGCAGCAGAAACTCGGCGATAGCGTCCGCGTCGGGCTGAGGGAAAAGGTATTTGTCGTGCAAGACCGACGACAGCGGCCACGGGCGCAGGTTCTGGATATGTCGGAGTTTCCCTGGATGCAAACGTCAGCCTGCGAAAGTCTGGTGTTGATGAAGTAGAGGGAGGGAGGCGTACCACTAGAGTCAAAGAACTCCCCGCTCCATCGGCCCGCCTTCAGCACCTCCGCCGGGAGGTCCCCAAGCAGCTCGATTATCTGCGCCATGTGGTCGTCGTCCTTCGTATATCGCGGCTTGCCACCAGCCCCTTTCGGCGCAGGAGCTGGGTCGAAGAGGTAATCCCCGCCCGTCAGGAGCTCAAACAGCTGGGAGTACAAAATTAAACGAACGACATTCGCGGCGGAGGCGGCAGAAACGCACCAGACACGCGACACTCCATATATCTGCACTCGTCCCCCACGTCGTAGAGCCAAGAATGACTTCTGGACATCGATATTGTCGCGTTTGGATGTCGTTTGTGAAATGGTGATTCGTCCAGGTGGCTGGAGAGCGACGAAAGGAAACGCGGTCAGAAAGATAGATTAGGGGCGGGAAGGAAGACGGGCTCACCGTTGCCCAGGTCTGCGATCTTGACTGTAATCATCTCATAGTCAAGCTCCCCCTCGACCACCTCCTCCACCCAACCCTCCTCGCCTTCCACTTTCTCACTGCGGCCACCGGGGCGGTCCACATCCAGAGTCAAAGACGGTGGAACGGCAGAGGTGGACGCTGGCGCAGATTTGGACAGGGATAGCGCGGACAAACCAGCACCAAGATCCTCAGCGCTGGCTACTCGTGCCTTGCCCTTGCCTGCTGCGGGGGACTCATCGTCCGCAGATATTTTGAGCATCCCGAGCCCCCATTTGTCTGCGGGCAGTTTCGATCGCCCCCCGCTGCCGCTGCTCAACGAGGACAGGCTGACAAAGCTCCCACTCGGGCTGGGGCTCAGCGGTTGACTGCCCTGGATGTTGATAGTATGGTGGCGCGCACCAGGCGTCTGGTTTCCCCCGCGGCCAGTGGACGGAGGGACACCAGTGATTCTCTGCCTTGCGGACGGAATCTGATGTGGAGCCGGGGGCGAGGTGGATAACGACTGCAGAGCGAGCTCGGCCTGAATTACCGACTCGACGTCCGGGATATAAATGAGGACATTCTCCGGTTTGAGATCTATTAGGGGGAAGGTCAGACGTAGCGGGGAATATTTTGGAGGGCGTCTCACCAGTGTGTATCACGCCACACAATCGATGCATATAATCGAGACCATGTAGCACTTGTTTCGCAATTTGCTTTACTAGTGGGATAGGAACGCCTTTATTCTGTGGGCGATACATCGTATCGGAACTCGAAGAGGGTGATTGCTCGGGCGTACCTGGTGTCTCTTGATTAAATTCAAGAGACTCTCGCCCAGGACCTCAAACACCATACAGACATGCGTGCCATTCGGTCCCTTGTGTCTGAAGTGGTCGAGGAAGGCTATAACGTGCGATCTGCCTGGATGGGAATTCGGGGTACTCGGGTCGGAAGACGTCACTAGGCGCTGAAGAAGCTTTATCTCGTCCACCGCCGTCTCGGTGTACCTAGGGGCGGATTTAACGACTTTAAGGGCGACATGTCTCTGCATCCTACACATAATTGAGCTGGGCTGTGCTCCAAGAGGAAGGGGAAAGACGCACCGCTCGTCGCGTGCCAGCCATACAGTGGAGAAGTGACCCCAGCCCAGTTTGCGAACGACAACATATCTGCCGTCGAAAGAATCTCCTATAGAGACAGGGTGGTAACCGCCGAGCTTGTATTCCTGCCAGTCCTCCTCCTCTTCAGCCATAGGGGGGCAGTAATGTTGAGCAGAAAGGCAGGGCGTTATCTTTGCATTCCTTATCTCTACCCCGCTTGTTCCACGCCTGTTTCAACCATCAAACAACGGTAATCCAATGTATCCTTTTGCGTGGTTGGGGGAAGGAGGAAAATGTAGAGACGGAATACGCACGAACGGGTAGAACGCAAACACGGATGTGGAGGTCAAAGCGAGGTTTAGTGGCTGCTTTAGGGCCCCTACCACAATCCGGCACGATCGGCATCAGGTTGTTGCAAATAAGCGCGACAGTGATGGGTGGGCATATCACCGTCTTGGGAGGTTCTAAACTCACACGACTGCCCTTTGTCCAATCCCACAGGTCCCAGAATTATCGCGAAGTCCCCGTGTGGCTGGGCGTGAAAACACCGTCAAAATCGGCGTGGAATTCATCTGGGAGAGAGTAATTTCAAAGGCCGGCCTTCGGCGCCGACTCGGAAGCTCGAGCGGATGAAGGGTTAGCGCGATGAGGACTCAGGGAAAAGCTCGGGAAGTCGACGTGACAAGTTGAACCAAACAGGTGAGCAAACCCAGAACAAGTCGCCGAGCCAGAATAATCTGTGAAGGCTACGTTGCGGTGGTCAATTTCCGTGAGCAACTATGAAGGATTCAGAGGAGCAGCTGAACCCACACACGAGTTAGTTTCCTGGAAGGGTTCGATATAAAAATGCTATCGTCACTGCTCCCACGGCGGCGTACCGTACTTACGAGGATGAGTACCTTGGTCTTTGGAGTACGACGCCCATTGAGACTCAGAGCGGGGAAGATGGAGGGCGGAGTCAGACTCGGAGATCACATGCAGGACCGAGAGGGTACACGACAAGACACGACATCGCGCAATTTTCGAAAACGATTGCTCTCTTCTTTTAGCACGGCCAGGATGGCGCGCCGTTCCAGACGGTCACCCGCCTAAGAAGGGAAACAAGACGAGAATAGACGGGAATCCACACAGGCAGTTCAACGCCAGGGCGGGTAAGATATAAACCCTCGCTAAATGCGACGAACAGAGTTCCAGACTACTGTGGCGTGTATTCAGCGGACCCAAAAACCCATATCATACATGAAGCACCCCGTCCTTTTCTCGATCCTCTAGCTGCGACTGCGAGGATTTCTCGACCTCCTCCACACTCTCCGTGACGCTATCCTCAGCCGCAGGAGACGACAACGGCCGCGCACGACGAGATTGGTACCAAGCGACACACGTCGCAATAGTTGCGCCGACCGCGAAGAACGCCGCGGGCCACGGCATTTCTGCGGACACCCGGACTATTTCCCAAGTTAATCGCTAGAGAACCACAGAAAATGAGCACACTCACTGTAGCTCACATCGCGATACCGCAGCGCGAGCCCAAGACGGTCAAGTGCCCCCTGTATTGTCGACGCGGGGAGCGTTGTATCCCCCTGGTGCACATCAACGGTGCCGCTGTGGACAAAAACGAACTCGGTGTGGAAGGCGGCCGCGACGATGAAGCAAACGGTGCCCAGCAGCATGCCTACAGCCTGCTGCCCTAAATTCCGCGTCGAAAGCGGCTCTTCCGGAAGCTCAATCTTGAATCGCTGCAGAATGAATGCCGGGATGATCTTGAATATATCCTGCAGCATTAACATGACGATATTGGAGGCCACGAACGTAACCAAGTTGTTGGCAACGAAGAGGATAATGGAAGTCGTCTTTATGTCTGTCTCATAGGCCTATTATTGGGGGGCCAGCCGTGAAAGTGCGGACTGACTGACCACCATATTTAAGCGACGCCGATAAACCAGGCGAAAGGTTGCTGTTGAGGTGCTTTTGAGCCGTATTGTGGCTGTTCCAGAACTCTGGGTTCAACCATATCTCGGGTATAGACAGCGCTGGATGCTCACTTTGTCCAAATCTTGACGCAGAACGCACCGACGATGATTGAGATCACGAACAGCAGCAGATTGAAGACCAGA